CTGACGGCGGTTCTGGACTGCACAACTGATGGCGGCAGCGGCGAGTCTCCTACGGCCGCTGCTCCTGCACGATCTGATCGTCGTCCCTCTAACGAAAACTTCTCAACCTGGCGGCGGCGACAGGTCTGGTCTGCACAACTGAATGCGGCGGCGGTTCAGGATCTGGATGGCGGCGGCTCCTCCACGCGGCGGTGGCTTCTTCTGCCGCTGCTCCTGCGTGCGGCGGTCTGTACGCAAACGGATATGGGGCGACAATCTTCTCGCAATTTGGGTTCCTGTTACAACTTAGCTCCTGTACCACTTGTTAGGAAATAAACACACAACACACAAATAATCTACGAGAAACGAGAGAAACGGAACTCGGAGGACACACAAGAATTTAACGTGGTTCGATTTCTCTAATTCACAGCTGCAACAGGATGATTTCTATTTCACTTGTCGTGTCTCCCGGAATTACAAGTACAAGGTGTGCATATATAGTAAAACACCTAGGGTTACGAAACTTGTTCCCCAAGAAACAAGAGACAAACGGGCTAAAAATAGGACGGGCCGATCCAAGTCGGGCCCAAACGTATCTAGCCTCCACAAAACCCAACAAGTACAATGTAAAAAACACCATAGTTCTTTCTATTGATAATGTATGTTTAATTTATTTTTTTATATATGTAACTTAATTATTCCATTGAATAATAATAATAATACATTTAAGTTAGAACAAATTGAAAAGGTTAAAAAAGAGAAAGACTATTATAGAAGTAAAATATAAAAAGTATCAAAATTACTTATTTTGACTTCTACCTCAATACTTCTCCCTCCTAACTATTACTATCATTTGAATTTGCTTTCATTTTTTTTATTGTGTATTCTAACGCCTAACATTTGATAATTTTAGAAATAATTAAATTTTTGATTCTATGCATTTTTTAACTGAGAAAATTACAATATCCAAAGTGGACACTTAATCATAATGTTCAATAGAGAGAGAATCATGAGTGTTTCTTTGGTGGACTTTGAATGCATATCATTTTCGTGGAACTTCTCACATAATTTTTTTTAAAATTTTTTTATTTATAAAAACAAAGGCTTATTAAGTAATAAAGAATTATTTGTTTTACTCATATGTAAATCCATAGTACACCTTAAGTCCACCATAAAATCTGTTGAAAATCATTAATTTGTTTAAAACGAAATTCATAGATTTATACAAGACTTTCAATGCGTTAAACCAACGATAATAATTGATATAACTGTATTGTCAAAAAATGTAAAAGGGATTAATTTTAGAATTATTGAAGATATTTTTTGGAAAAAAAATGCATACGCAATGTTGACTACTTAAATAGATTGTTTATTTGGGAAACCTAATATAAATCAATAACCTTAATTATTTGAATAAAATTATACTACATCCGTCCCATAAAAATTTCCAAATACAAAGAAAGGCGTCCCATAAATCTTTTCAAATTATAAAAAAGGTGCACTGTTAGAGTATATAACAACCATTTCTGAGCAACAACCACAAGTTTGAGCTTTTGGTTAAGATGATTTCTTGACATGGTATCGGAGCCTTGATGACCAAGAGGTCACGAGTTTGAAACTCAACGCCACCCAATTTAAAAAAATTAAGGTTTCACGTACAAGGTTCAAAGAGGTCACGCCTGCACGTGAGGGGCGTGTTAGAGTATATAACAACCATTTCTGGGCAACAACCACAAGCTTGAGCTTTTGGTTAAGGTGGTTTCTTGACATGCACTCTAAAATCATTTATTCTACACATCATACCCTATCTTATTATAAAGTAAAGGAAAAGTTAGAAAATAATATCCAAATTAAACATTTTTAAAGAAGTTCAGTGTTATGTCATTTTTCAGATGATAGTCTACTTAAATATTGATTAAAGAGTTTTTCATTTAATCAATTAGCTACCTGTAGCACAGAAGGAATTTTGCTCAGGAGCATCTAATCGATTTCCCCTCTTTGTAAAAATCGATTTTTTGTTCGTTGTATCTCATACTTACCCAATTTCTTGCCCCAACAGACATATCCATTTTTCACCTATATAATCCCTCTTCCTCCTTCATTCTACACAACAATACAAGCACTCCAATCCTCTCATTCATTACTTTTGATTCTTGCTCCATCTCTTGATAATCAAATACAATTTTGAGAGCTAGATATATATAATTTTTTAGTGCAAAGATATTGTCATCAATAGAGCTTACACTTTAAACACTACTTGCTCATTTGTGAGCTTCATTTCTTGTGTTGTTAAACTCATCTTGTTTGAGTTACTGTTCTTAAGACTTGTGTGACTCAAGTCTTGGTGTTGTAAAAAAGTGATAATTGTGTGGTTCAAGTTCTCAAGTTGTACCGGTTTTTTCAAGCACCAGTTGAAGCTTGAAGATTAGTAGAGTCTTTGAGAGAGTCTCTCGGAGGACTGGACTAGCCACGAGGTGGTGAACCAGTATAAATCTCGGTATTCTTCTTTCCCTTACTCTTTAAATTTATTCCCGCGATTTTTATTCCACACACGCGAAAAACGCACATTCTTGAAAACAACTCTATTCACCCCCCTCTAGAGTTGCACATTTGTCAAACACGAGATTCTCAATCCTTATGGCTTTAACTGAATACTCAATGTGTGCTATCAAACAAGGGGGTCCAAAAGCAGAATTAATCTAACAAGCAAGTGGAATTGTATGAGATGAAGCATGTGTGATGAATAAATTTACTTTTGAGACATTGGATCACACAATGAGAAATATAATGAGGTTCTATAATAATAACTCTAGAAAAGAACCATTCGGAGGAAAAATATTAGTACTCGAAAGTGATTTTTGCCAAATCCTTCAAAATTTACCAAAGCTTCGAGAGAGAGAAGAAATTGTAGGTTCTACCATGAAATTGGAGATGAAATACACAAGTATTGTAAAGTTTTTACGTTGACCAGGAATATGTTATTGCATTCATTTATGTCCTCTTACGCAAATTGGGATACACAAGCTTTTTCTTATTGGATAATCAAAATTAGAGATGGAAAGCTTGGTCAGGTGATTGATGGAATTGCTCACGTTGAAATTTTGCCCAGATTCTTGATTCTTGACATAAGTTATCCTCTCAAGAGTATAGTACTGGAATTCACTTATCTGAACTTACTGGAGAATATGAAAAAAAATCTTTTTTAGGATAGGGCACCATTAGCACCTACTCTCAAAGTTGTTCAAATGGTAAATGAGTTTGTCATATTCCACATTCCCAGTGATGAAAAAGGAGTTCTTGAGTTATGATTCTTAATGGCAAGAAGATGCAATGTAGGTGTTGGTGCTTATTGAATACCATTTAAATTTTGAATGAAATCAATTGTTCAGATGTTCGGGGATCCCAAACCAAAAAATAGTTTTGAAAAAAAGGTACTGATTATGTTATTTGGATTGTGTGATGATAAAAAATTAATTGTTGATGAGCTGCGAAAAATGTTAACCATGGAATCGTGGTTTTGAGAAATTGAGACGGGGAAAAGGTTTACATAACTCGAATAAATTTGGTACCATATGATCCAAGGCTACCCCCTAAAGTTTCAAAAACAATTCTCAATAGTTTATGTTTTTTATGACTATTAACAAAAGTTAAGGTGAAACATTATCTTTGTTAGATTATTTTAACTAAGTCAGTATTCACTTACGGTCAATTTTATGTTGTTGCTTCACGAGTGAAGACAAATACATGATTAAAATTGTTTATTTTAGATGACAATAGAAATTGAGAGAGAGAGAGAGACTGGAATATTACTGAATTTAGATTAGATTTTACGTCTTTTTAATTTTGAATAGCCTAATGGGTATATCATATTTTAAATGAATATATAAACTAAATAACTAATAAAACTACATGATTAAATGCATAACCCGTCGGGTCAAACCCGACCCGACCCATTCTGACCTGAAAATTTAACGGATCTTTGACTTCGAGTCATTTGGGGTTCAAGTCGCAAAATTATTGTTCAAAACCTGCTAATCTTGGGCCGAGTTTTGGATTAATAACGGATCGGGTCAAATTTCACCGGGTCTAAGTGGGATGAAGGATTGAAGGAACTATGACAATTTCTTTTATGTTAATGAAGTCCATGACAAATGTGCTTTGGAGATTTTAATTGGAGGTTTAATTTTTGGAGATTTTGTATTGGGCACTGAAGTGAATGATTCTTGTAATCTCTTTGGTTATATAGACTTTAATTGGAATATTTATTTTTGGTGTAATGAAGGGAAGTTTTCACTTCGAGACAATGCTTTGATGTTTCAATGGATTTGGTGATAGATTTGAGAAGTGTAATTATTTGTTTGGTGTTGGTTTTGATGTTTATGCGTGTATTTATGGGGTGTGGGGTCAGTTTTTAGTGTTTAGTTCTTAGCTTCAAAACACAAAAAATAAGTGGAAGAGCATTTTTAGAAAGTCAACATCATTTTTTCCTTCTTTAAATATGTCCCAAATTAAAAAAGAACAATATCAAAACAGACAATTTAAAATGGAACAGAGAGAATACATTTTAGCACCATTGATCTACATTTTTTTATGCATTACAAAAGTTCTAAAAGTGGTGACAAATTTTTCCATCCGAAATGCCACTACATATTTTTGACAATTAACTACAGTCTCTAACAAGGTTGTACCATTCTATTTTTAAAAATATAATTTCAATTTTTAAAATTTAAAAAATGAATTTAAAAAACAATTACCTAAAATAATCTCACATTTCATTTAGTTAAGCAAAATAAGCTTTTACTATTTAGAACCGTTGGCCAAGCGTTAATATCCTAACATCAATCAAAAACTCACACACGATCAAAGATTGGTTTATGCACCACATTGATAAGTTGGATTATTTTAAGACCGCTCAAAGGTGGAATTATTTTAGAAAATTTTTCCTAGATACAAAAACAATTTTGTTCCACACATACCTAGCATGGACTAAAAAATACTAGGAAATGAATATAGAGATTGTGTATGTGCCCCTTCATTTATTACTTGAATACATTAAACAATCAACCAAATAGTTAGAATAGAACGAAGGGAATACTCAAATCCTACTATTTAAACAAAATGTTTTTGCTGTACAAGCCTCAATGATTCATCCTCACAAAGATGAAAAAAAAGAAACACAATGACAGAAATAGCTATTGTATGCTAAAAAGGATAAACGAAAAAAAAAGAAAGAAAAGAAAGCGCATTGACAAACAAGTTAACCAATCAGAGAAGAGTAAACCAACTCAATCCTCATTTGGAATGTAGAAATCAAACTTGACATCAACAGACCCAGACTTTTCTCCAGTATCTTTGTACTCAATATTTGTGATCATCCCACTTGGATCCTCTGCTTGGTACTCTGATCGCACGCGCCGAACTGGCACCGAGACAGAGTAGATGGTCCCGAGGTCTGGATCAGTTGAAACACTGAGATGAACTTTATCCTGTGATTCTATCTCCACGAAATCAGAGAGAACGCTCACAATGTTGCTCACTATCTTCTGCTTGGCCTCATCACTCACAGCACACCGATCAGAGAAGAGTATCATCTTCATCCGTTGCTTCGCGATGTTTCTATTTGAACTCCTTGCAGATGATGGTGACGGTGGAAACATTATCTTCCAAGCCAAGCTGATGCGCTCGAAAAAGCCCATATCGGTTGCATTAAAAAGGAAGCTGTCGAACTCTTGGCTCATGGAATTTGAGGATAGTTTGTGATCCCCGAGGCTTCCAAGTATTCTTCTGGAGTGGCATGGCACACTATGACCAATACCTGAGGCTTGTGACCCTCTAAGCACGAGCTCAGATGCACTAGGACTGCCATTTACGAAGACACCAAGGTGTACCTGTGTGGAAGTATGCAATATTTCTCAAAGGTCAAAGTACTAGTGTAGTACTGAAGGGAATATGTTTGGGACATGCTGGGTTTGACTTGGTTTAGTCCTTGTAGAGTTGTTGAAATTGGGATCAGTAAGATTTTAGACTGGCTTCAATAAGACTAGTGTGATTTAGAACTAGTACAAATGAACTTCACTATAAACTCATTTAGTAAGGGCTAGGTCAGTGCTCCAGGGTCATGACTGATGATGCAGGATCGCTCCATAGATGGTCAAATGTAAAAACATAAATCTTGTAAGCTACAGTGCACGATCGGCCACGAACCCACAAAAAAGGGAATATGTCCGACACATGCCGTGTACAAAAGAGGCTCTGGTAACTATAAATAAATCCCCTCAGTCAACAGGGAGGAAATGCAATTATAAGCATTCACAAGCTATCAACAGTCTACACGCAATACAGTGATTCGAGCTCATATGGTCTTTCACTATTTATATTCTAAATCGTTACTGAGATACAGTAATACCAGTGGACTTCTGGATCATCACTTTTCATTCCTGTTGATGGCATGGGGTTTCTCCTTAACCCCAAGAACACCCTTTTTTCCCATCACATATACACATTAAGTAAACAGTACAACCAGATGTATCTTCTTCTGGTACACCATGGCAAACTTGTAATTAAAAAATGTTTCATAATGAATACTATGTTGTTTCAAAATGAACATGTTTCAGAATGAACATTATGCTGGGCAGACTTCAAAATGAACACTACAGTTGAAAATGAATATTTTATTGATTCAAAATGAACATTGAGCTGATTTAAAATTCACATTCACCGATGTACTTACTTAGCTCTAGGTACAACCGGGTGTACGATTTATATTTTTTCCCCTTAAAAATTTTATGCTCTTTTATTGATTTTAGCACACGATTTCGTATTAATAACTGAACATTACATTACAATTAGGTGCAAATTAAGGAGATAAAAAACAAGGGTACTTGATTCTCTACATAATCAATGGAGCGGATAAGTATGAGAGCTCGAACGATTAAGACAATGGCTAACGAAGAATGAATAAGAAAATTGATTACGAGAAGATAACACATTAACCAGAAACAAGTAAGAGATTGGATTAACAGTCGAAAAAAACCTTAGAAGGGAGACGAAAATGCTTTGAGCTCCTGATGGAGTTGTTCGGAGACGGGCCCAAAGCAGCCGAGACCCGGAAATCTCCCGATACTGCCATGTTTATATTCTCAAATTATCTCTCTGCGAGCTTTTGGGGACGAATTAATGGCTCCCTCATACGTTTTGGGAACTCGAGAAAGCTAGGGTTGCCCGAGACGGTGGAGCTTTTCAAGAGTATTGAGATGTTGTTTGGTAGTGCTTCTAAAAAAGAGATTCTCAGCTGTTTAATTGTTGACTGTTTTATTTTGTATTTTCTAGAAACACAAATATAAATGTCACAAAATAGGAAAAATTGTCATTTTTACACTCAATAAAAAAAAAGTTGAAACAATTAGAAAGTAAAAATTAAAATATACAAATGACAGATTTATATATTATATTAATTTTGTGTTTTCTACATTTTTTTTATTTTCAAATTTGAAGAGGCAAAGTTGAAACATCTTTGCTTTTGAATTGAATATTTAAAATAAACACTTTTTCAAAAGCAAAATTAATTCCAAACAACATCTAAGAGACTAAAGAGTTCCTGTAATTGAATCCTCATATGAGTTGAACACTTGACATTTCATCAATTTACTATTTCTTTCGTAATCAAATGTGACATTAAGGCAATAATAGCCACACTCGTTAAAATATTAAATACAGATGCATAAGTATGTAAATATTTGAAAAATTAAACAATCATTATTAATTCAAGAAAGTAACATTATATATAATTTTGTAAAACTATCCAATATTTATTTTGTTCTCATCATTAATTCAAGAAACTAGACAATATTTATTTTGTTCTCATCATTATTCAAGAAACTAGACAATATTATATATGATGGTGTAAATTACCTAACCAGGTAAACTATACTAGACCGGGTCTAGAACAGTTCACTTGATTCAATAAAGTAAGAAAGGCCAAATACACAAAGTGACCGGGAGGACTTTAGGTGGAACACCTGTAGCCCAATTTATATTATAACAGAGAATGCACGGGCACTTTTACAAAGAAGTTTAGAGAGAATGAATTCGGATCCCTCTTTCTGAGGTTTACAGCAGTATTTATACTAAGTTAAGGGGGACAGGGCAGCGTGCACCCACGTGGAGGCACGTTCTCGGAGGGTGAGAAGTGATGGCCTTCGTCCTCTTGCTGCCTTGTCGCCTTGCGAGGGAGATTGTGCCCTTGTCGCGTACTGGCTTGGACAGATTCATTCAGCATCTCCAGCGATCCTCCACTGACATGGGTCGCTACAGTCCAAGCCATTTTAAATTCTCTTCTGCCGACGCTTTCTAATTCTAAAAACTACACCAGATAGTTTCCCAAAGGTTAGTTTACCGCATTTGAGGGATGAATGAAGCCATGTAATAGTTTGACCGGTATACTTTTCTGAAGTATACCGGTAATCTTTTGACCAACTTGAGTGTCCCCCGGCCGACGATTAACATCTCCCTTCCCAGAACTTTTAGATTGACCGGTCAACTTATTCGGTCTTTTCCTTTGACCAGTCATGGGTGGAATACACCCATCAATATATAATGGTAGATATTTTTATAAATTTATATATAATGTCATTTTCTTCAAATTCAGGCTTTGCATAGTTATTCTTTATCACAATCACCAAGCTTCAAACTTAGACACCTAGTAAAGTGTAATATATGTCATATAATCGGTTGTATGATATTTCTCATACATCCGTGGTGAGTTCTCATTAATAAGCAATTGAATACTCATTTTTGAGTATCTCAATACCCATTTTTGAGCAATCGAATATTCATTTTCAAGTAACTGAATATTTCTTTTTCTAAGCTTCAGTTATACTCGTATATGAGTATTCGGTTACTCGAAAATGAATATTTTATGACTTGAGAATGAATACTCAGTTACTCAAAATGTTGGTGCATGCCTTCGGGCTGTAAAGTGGGATACAATTTTAAAATATCACACTAGCACAAAATATTAGTGCATGCCTTCGAGATACAAAGTGAGACACAATTTTTGAATACAAATATCATTTCCCTTTAAAATACTCTCTCCATCCCCCTGTATTTGTCCACTTTCATTTTTACACACCATTCAATGCACTTCTTTAATCCATTTTATCTTGTAATTTGTATATTAAAAAATTATAAAAATTATATATTAATAATCTATATGTTAAGACAAATCAAACAAGATCACACATGACTATATTTAGGCTTACAATTGAGAGAATTTGATGAGTCAAAGTGCTTAGATGAACAGTTCCAAAAGTCAAATGTGGACAAATACAGGGGGACGGAGGGAGTATTATTGATTTTTGTAGACATTGACCCTAGTCATCCTTGTGAAAGTAAAATGACGTAAATGATAGATAAATCATTTGTAAATATTCATTAATGATGAGAAAAATTTTGTAAATATAAGAAAAAATTAGTTTTAAAGTAAATAGCTAAGACTTATTTATTTTTTTAGTTTATAAGCACTTTATAAATAAGTTTATTAGCATACAAAAACATATCATTAGCTAATTTATAAATTAAAAATTACTTATAAATTTTTTTGACCAGCTTATAAGTACTGAATAACAACCACAAAATTTTAAATTTTTGAACATAAAGAAGCATAAAATTTAGAGATCCGGCCTAGGAGATTCATCTTTTAAAATTTCATTGATTTTTGTAGACTTTGACCCTAGTCGTCCCTGTGGGCTGTGGGGAAATTTTCAAATGATTTCTTCCTTGCCCCAATGTAGGGTTCAAACTCAATCCACTTAGGATTGCCTGATAGTTACGAGCAGCCATGGACGCGAATCCTTTAAGATTCAATAACCCGATCCGAGACGCCATTTCCAGGATCCGATTCTCCCCGCATTCAAACAATCTTCTCATTTCTTCCTGGGACAGAGTAAGTAATGCTCATCACTGCATTGAATATTTGTGGTGTGCATTTGTGGATGATGCAATTCGGTTGTGCTTAGGATTTGATGGCTATAATGCCTGCAGAGTCTTCGATTATACGACATTCAACGCTCAAAGCTAATATTAGAGTCCCCAGGGGAAGCCGCACTCCTCGATTGTTGTCTTGAAAGCGAAACTGTGGCTTTCAGTGCTGCTTCTGATGGTTCTATTTACAGGTTTTTTACTCCAGTTATTTTCAGTTGCTCATGCTCATCTCCGAAACGCTCTCACGTTGTAGAGTATTGGGATTCTTGACATTGCTTCTACGAAATGCGGGTCCTAAAAATCTCAATGTTGGACGCCCTTTCTGAAAAACTACAATTTTGATCTCCTGCATAACAACATTTGAAAAAGTAATTTGCGGCGTAAATAAGCTGGAATAATTTTTGTGTCCTTTTGCAAACTCTCCGACCACCCGTTTGCAATCTGCACAAGCCAGAAGTCGGATAAAAAAGTAATGTCAAACACCCCATTCTCGGCCAACTGAGCATCTGACGAGTAAATATGAAGCGTAGAAAAACACAATAAACAATATTTTTTGCAATTGATAATTCAATTTGTATTTTGTTTAGTGATGGAAATGATTTAGAGACCGTGTTTTTCTGTGTTGGAAAATTGCTAGGTATGATATGCACTCAGGTCATAAATCTGCAATAGGGAAACATGATGATATGGCAACTTTTGTTGAGTTTTTTCCTGAATCAAGTAAGACATTACAGAAAATGAGTATCGCAGTGCTAAGATATTCTAGTATTGTTACCACCTGCCCTCGTGTGTGTATGTGATTATCGTAAATACGCAGTAGCCAGAGTTACGATTGATTCAGTAAACTTGGCGGGGAGGTGTGGGGGGGGGGACTTTGCTTGCTTGTATGACAAATTTATGTTTGCAATGTTTTGGTAAGCTTCTCCCTTGCTTCATGTAGGTCAGCTAATTACTTCTGGTTGGGATAAGAACATAATCTTTTGGGATGCACGGTCGGCAAAGTCTGTTGGATTCTTGAACAATCTAACATCAATGGCAGAGTCTATGACACTCTCTGGCTCCAGTTTGATCGTTGCTATTGATTCTTCAGTAATCATTTTTGACATTCGTACCCTTAGGAAACTGGTTCACAGAAAAGATGTCCAAATAAAATGTGTCCGCACTATTCTTCATTCTGAAGGTATTGTGGCAACAATCTAATATAGCTTGGACATATAAGTCATCTACCAATGTAGGCATACAAAGTAGAGAATGACTAGTCACAAAGATGGTTGGGTCGGTACTTGTTAGTCTCAGGCATTCAGGCTAGCTGTGCTCAAGTCAACACTATTTTTATAGTTATATGTGTTGCACAATTGTAGGTTGGTTTGACTATCAATGTTTATCATGTACAATTGTACATCTTAATTTTGTAGTGACCAAAAATTGGCACATCCAGTTGACTCGAAATTTTCTGATCACCACTTCCACGAGAAATGTACTCAACTAACCACAAAGTCATTGTTTTCAATTTTTTATGACCTTTTGATTACCATTGACATATAATGGCTAATTCAAGTGAAATCCAGTTTATGTATGACCTTTTAAAGGTAAGTGTTGCTTTTTCAAGTATAAAGTTGAGTACTCCAATGATGCAGGGTTTGTGGTCGGATCGGTGGATGGACGTGTTGCTTTGGAGTATATCTGTGAATCCAATTTGGATAAGGGGTTAGTAAAGGGTCATTGTCCAAACCTATTTACATTCCACAACTTTATTTATTTAGGGGTGGAGAGAGGTGGTGGTGGTGGTGTTAAAATGGCTCCAGGTTATCCTAATGTTAAATGGATAACAAACAAAATATATCTTCCATTCTTATTTTTGTTTTGCAGATATGCCTTCCGGTGCTTTCCAAAGAAAAAAGATGGAAGACAACATGTGGTGGCAGTGAATGACATTGCATTTAGTCCATTGTAGGTTTTTTTTTATTATCCACTGTTATTGCAGAATATAGGAAGTTAAATTGATTACGCACCCTTTTCATTCTTTCAGAAACAGTGGCTCATTTGTAACTGGTGATAATGATGGATTTGTAATTATGTGGGATGCTTGGCACAAAAAGCGACTATGCGAGGTACCCTCTTTGATTGCACTAGATTAGATGTACTTCCATTCTTCCTCCAAAGTGGAAATGGCCAAGTACAACTAGTGGGTTGTACCATTTGTCTTCAAATAAGCATTCCCGAGTAATATATTATACTCCTGCCGTCCCATTACAAAGAGTCATATTTCACAAAGGTTGCAGTTTTTAAAAAATTTAGTAAGGTACAACTTGTAGAAATAATGAAATGTAACTACATTTTTTTCGTTTGTTGGCCTAAATTTAGCATATTTAAGTTGTTTGGCATATGTTTTCGTTTAAAAACGTCGGATATAAATTATATATTGAAAATTAACATCTTTCTTCAAATTGTATACTTTTTCCTGGGACAAGAGAGTATACATATTTTTGGGAATTTAAAATTTCCAGCAACGTTTTTTATTTTCTGCTTTTTCTTCTTAATTGCAATGAGATTACTGTACTATAAACATTCTTATGCATCTCTTCTAGACCGCAAAAGGGAAAAGATTTGCTACTTAGTGTTCCAAAGCTAAGTAAACCCATTGTTTGCATCTGCATTTGTTACACTTTTTGATTTGCACCTTTCTTGGTTAGGCCCAATATATACTCAGTACCCCACTCGGAAATGAGGTTCACCCCAGTTGAAGAGTAATGGGTAGAGGCTAGGTCATTTAGGGAGGCACCCCACATGGAAAGTAGGCACAATCCGCTATTCTCTCCACAGAAAAAGGGTTAAGGCTAACAGCCTAACATACTCTTGGAACTCTATAAATACACCTTCTCCAAGCTTGGGGAAGGGATTGATCAAACTCTGAATATACGTGTTCTTGAAGCTTTTTCTCTCTCATTATTTGCAATCTACATTCTTATTATCTTCGATATAATCACGACCCACTTTCATGTCTGGTGGATTAAAGTTAATCAGTATGTATCCTCACACACTCCTTAACCCTAATGCACGTTCAGCTTCCAAGACATCCAAACAGCATTGCTTCTTTGTCATACAATCATGATGGGTTGCTTTTAGCAGTTGCATCGAGCCATACTTACCAAGAAGCTAATGAAAGGTTAGGCACCTGATCTTATAAGTTATAATACCTTCCCGTGCTGCTTCCGCTTTAATCCTCTTTTGTCAAACCTTGGCCAAGTGTGAGCTGTGATTCTGTAAATGAAAATTTTCTTTTAAAAAAGCATTTAACAATAAACCACTCTCGAACTGCCTAATTAGGTGTCTCTTTTCCTTTTGGGCTATCAATTTCTAGCTAATCAAACACCTGCCACTTTCGTGACAGTGAAGAGCCTCCACAGATATTTATACACAAACTTGAGAACTTTCAGAGCGAGTCACCTTCTGTTCGAGCATCCTGTGTGGAATGACTCTCTGGTTTAGGTGATTATATATCTTATTTCAATATCATATTTTACCTTTAAGGAGTCAATCCCATATGTCTTCAGTGTGGGGTTGATCGCCAAGCAAGATATACAAATTCCTAACTATCTTCTGAACATGGTCCTGTGGGATGATTTTCAGAAACGTATGGAGCCAGATTGCTGATGGGTTTCCAAAGCCTTTAATTTGGTCAGTTGCTCTGCATTGCATTTTGGCGTTATGCAAATGGGTTATTCCAGTCAGGTTATGCACACTGCTTTCTTCCATGCACGAAATTAGAGCTGTCGCTACGATAAACCGGTGGGTTGTAATAGTTATTGAAATCATCTTGTCCTTGGTAGCACACTCTCTGGAAAACACATTTTAATTATTTAACTGTATTTATTCATCAGATGTATTAACCTTTTGCAGTTTGCTTCAATGTAGATTGCTCCCATTAACAGGTTTTTTCCTTCTAAAATCCTTGAACCATTACTCATAGTACCTGGTTTTCGTGAAAATATCCGACAAATAGTGAAAGTTATAATACTCCGTACTCCATATGATTTATGAGTGCTTCTATGGTGCACCTTGGGTGCATATCATTTTTATGGACCTTCTCACATATTTTTTTTATTTTTTTAATTAAAAAAATAAATGCTTATTTAAGTAATAAGGAAATGGTTATTTTGTTCATATGTACGTCCATGATGGATCTTAGGTTCACTATAGAATTTCCCATGATTTATTGAATAATACATGATGTCTCCCAAAATACTGCTTATCTCAAATCCCTTCTAAGGACATCAGATTTCCATGGATTTGGATTTTGCAGCGGGGAGCCTGGAATTGTGAGAATACCATGCTCCTCCTCCCCTGCTTGAAGACGCTTTCCTCCTAACCCTTCTCCTCCCCCGCCCCATCATCTTCTCCTCATCCCCCCATGCTGCCGCCTCCACTCCTCCGGCAAGCACCACCGGCGGTGGGACGCTGTACGGGCACTTTGACCTCCACGAGTTTTCCGGGCGTTCGGAGCTGGCGGAGAGGTTCTTGAGGAAGAAGGAGAGGGCCCACTTGGGGTGGATGAGGGGCTTGGGGCAGAGGAGTGGCAGGTAGTGTCAGTTGAGGTAGCAGGGGACTTGGGCGGCGATGGCGCGGGGCTGGTTATGATGTGGGTTAGGGCATGGAGTCTTTGCTCCCAATTCATGTCCTCCATTAATGGCTTCTTGTTTCTTTCTTCTTCCTTCGTCTTCTCAAATTTTGCAGCTGCCATGGTCGGACTGGAGTCTTTGCTGGCATGGAGTCTTTGCTCCCAATCTACATGCCGGATTGCCAGAAGAGAATGCGCCTCAAAATTTCCAATAGAAATGCATGGAGTCTATGAAATCTATCTTAAATCAATAGAAAAGTTGGACAAACTCTACATGGAATCTATTGATTTTCTAAATTCACTAACTTTTTAGAGTCTAAAAAAATCCAATACAATCTCAATTGAATACACCCCCTTAGATCTGGATGTGCATTTTTTCTATTTTAATCCTGCTTGGTTATTGGGTGGTTGAGACTTGGACTGCGGTTTTTAACCCAAAATATTTTGAATAATGCTAGAGTCACAAACAACTTGAGCACAAACTTCACAAACTTGTCATTTGTGTATTTAAATTTTTATTTTTAAATTATTTAAAATCATTTAATTCACTTGGGAATGTGCACAAATAGCAAGTTTGTGTAATTTGTGTCCAAATTGTTTGTGACTCTAGCATTACTCAAATATTTTACAGCAACCAGCATCGTATTGGTCATCGCACAACTGAGAGGGAAATTTTTATTGCTGCTCTTCTAAATAGGAGGATACAAAAATGCTAGGGATACACCAAAAGTGTACCCAAATGTACATCACCTCCTCCATTACCATTCAATTTGGCATGTAAAATAAAAATAAAATAAATAAATACAAATGAGTTGTAATGAAGGGGTGGTGTACATTTCGGGTACACTTTTGGTGTACCCCTAGCATCTCCCATATTAATAACTTAATTATTTTATTATCAAAATCTTTATCTTTATTTACTCTACCTATTTTGTGCATATTTTTTTTAAAAAAATCACTCTAAATATGACTAAGAGTTTATTCTTTAGGGCTTAAACTCTTAACATATAGTTTTTTCTAGTTCTTTCCAGTTCTTCACAGTTTCTTACAGTTATTCCAATTTCTTCTAATTTTTTTCAGTTTCTTCTAAGTATTTTTATTTTCTACAAACTCTTTTTACCGTACTTCCCGATTAATTATTCTAAAAACGATATATTATTATTATTATTACACCTATTATTTTCATAACTATAACTTATAAATTATTTCTTTTTTTTCATCTCCCTATTTTTATGATGCACACTGATTATTATTTTTTTCTTCAACTTTTTAATATGAATAATACTATTTTTTATATTAATCTACAAGATAAAATAGGGGAACATCAATATTCTAAACTATTTTAAAAAAACTATGAATAAAATAGTTACATAAAATGTTTTTTAAATCTAAATTTATATAAAAAAACATCAACATTTTAATCTATGGAGTAAAATATAATAATGGAATGTGGTGGGGAGTACTACATTATGATAACCAAGAGAGAACTACATCTTGAGAAAGAAAAAATGACACAAAAAGTGTAAAAAAACAAATTCAGATAACAAATAATATCACCAATAATTAAAATACAACTAACAAAAAAGTTATACTTTCACTTATTTGATCTACTTTTTATTGTACAAATAATATCACCAATAATTCAATATTTCTTCCAAAAGGCTGAACGTGGTAGACACAAACATCTCGTACATGGATAGCAATGTCGTTGTGGTTCTTTTTTTAGCTCACCAACGTTCGTAAAAGACCTGAGATGACACGTTTGGGAGCCATATTGAGAAATATCAAATTTTCAAAGTTTTAATAGTGGGGAAATGAATTGGTTGTATTGGGCAATTGTTGTTTATAAACATAAAATTTGAATATCTTTCCTAGGAAAAAGTAATGATGATTTTATATTGGGGTATGTTAGGCAATAAAGATTATTAATTAAAGTGAAAGGGAAGCCGTCAAAATACATATCCTAAAACATATTTTTAATGTCTTCACGGGTACAAAAAAAGTAACCAATCTAATTCAATCATTCAAAACCCATTGGCCCAATCAGATCAATTTTCATCTTTATCCAACTCAATACCCGATTTGAATACTCAACCCGTGCCCAAAAAGTTTAGGCAGAAATTTATTACTGTTCATTTCTTCTCTTTGGCTTTATATATTACGAAGTAGAAGATAATGAAAATAGACTTTCCCGTGCATCGCACGAGTGAATTACTAGTTGTAATAAAGTCAATAATATTATAAAAAAACTTATATCAAAAGAACATGCCCTTAAAAAAATTCTCCCTCCTTCCCATTTCTTTTGTTCAATTTGATTTTTCACCGTCATCAATATAACACATATACCATTAATATATCTATTTATTTATAAACATAGATTATAAAATATAATATTTCAAAACTATATGCGGGTCATGCTAGGGTGCCCCAAATGGTTAGTACCATGGGTGCATCCATGCTTCTCACATATGACACAAATGATAATCATATGTGCGAAACATCAGTGCATCTATGGTAACAACCATTTTGGGGACACCCTAGCATTTTTCTATTTCAAAATTAATCTAATAATATTAAATTTATATCACAACTTAATCTATTTTTTCATAATTTATGGTCAAATTTTAAAAATGTTGATCACAACAACCAAAATAAAAAAAATGAGGGATGCTAGGGGTACACCAAATGTGTACCCCAAATGTACCCCATCCACTTTTTACCCACACCTTTTTATTTATATATGGAGCATGTTACATGTACCCCAAAATTTGTACCTCATTTGTACACCAAAGGTATGCACTGACATTTTCATGATTCACACTGACACAAAGTGTTGATGCGTTAACAAAAATTTACACTGACACAAAGTGTTGATGCGTTAACACAAATTAGCATTACATCTACACAAATTATTGGTGCATCCATGCGGTGTACAAAATGAGATACAAATTCTTGGGGTACAAATAACATTATCCTTTATTTATTACGAGTAATTTATTTTTTTGCATGCAAGAGTGTGTGGTGTTGAACCACACATTTGGGGTACACCTAGGTATTTTCAAAAAGAATATAGTAGTCTGATTTCAAAGTTGGAATGGGTAGCCTCACCCCATCTCTACTACCAAAAAATATTTGAAAATTTGAATTGCAAGCCGCGCAACCCTTGTATTTCTATAACGGGCATTTCTGTGTCTCTCGTTCCTAACTTTCTGTCTGCTAATTCTATTGGTGTGAGCTCCGAAGCCAAATCCTTCTCCACATCCCGAGCACACAAAGTTGTTCTCAGATTCCCCTGCTTCATTCCAAAGGTAAACGCATAAATCTTGCTTATTCCTTGAAGTATGTTGCTCTTTCTCATTCAGTTTCCGTGCAATTCTTTTTTTAGTCGATTAGAATGGCGACTAAATTCATGTTTTGATCCTAAATCTCTTTCGAATTTATTAGAAATCTAGGTCTATTTCTCCTCCTGTTCCCCATTTGTCTTAATTTGACTCCATAAGTGCTCAGTTTTCAATTTCATTATGCTTGTGTTTAGGGCACAAACTTTTTGCCCATTTTAGAATGCAAATACTGATCATTAGATTCTGGAAGTTAAATTTTTGTGAAAATGGCGATATGTAGGAGTAGCATGGAGGCCTCCCGAATGGAACATATATCCTCCCCGGAAAGACTTCCCGCGTCCCACTCCTCCACCTTAACCTCTAAGGTGAGAGTTGTTTTGAGAGTTCGCCCCTTCCTTTCACAAGAAGCCTCGTCCAGAAATGGGAACCCAGTTTCTTGTGTTGCATCTGTCCTTCATCCTGATCCTGAAACTTCAGACGAAGTCACTGTTCATCTCAAAGATCATGAATCTAGGTACTTGGTGTTGGTTTTTGGGTACAAGTGTACCACACACTGTTAATTTCTGTAAACTTTTAAATTTGGAGGGCCTGACCCCTGTGGAATGTCGAACTAGCATCGTAGACCCTGTAATAACACAAATGAGTTTGAGAGACCCTGTGAAATTTTTTAAGAAGCACATTCACTCCAATGATTAAAAAAAGGCTATTGTGAGATGTGAAATGATAAAAGTGCCATCATCAAATTATACACCCAAATTAAAGTTTCATCTTAGTTTTTGGACGAAATCTTAGTTTGGATGTAATTTATGTAGAGAAATGAAATACTTGTAACATGAATTACACCATTCTTTTTTTTCTTAAAATGAAATGTAAACTTCTTTTGGATGTCTCAGAAAAGAGAAAAAGAGAACATGATTTTGAGGCTTTTGGAGTATCATTTTATATCCCCTTATCTTCTTACAACTCAGGCAATGAATTCAATATGCCCAACTTGTCACAAGTGGGGAAGATGAGAAAATAGTACTCCGGTACAATTTTGTCTTTTTATATGCTAGATTAGGTACACTTGAATTCTTAGATGCAAGATTTTTCCCTTAGGTAGTGTAGCGCCTCTTCAAATTTGGGTATGTGGCGCATTTTACCCATTTTAAATTTCTGATATCATATAACATGGTACGGTGTATTTTACTTGTGGCCTAGCCGAAATGAATGGTACAAGTTGGATGAAGTTTTCGGTCACGAAGACAATAATCTCAGCCAAATTTTTCTCAAAGAAGTCAGCCATTTAATCCCTGGGATTTTCCTTGGCCAAAATGCAACTGTATTTGCGTATGGGGCAACTGGGAGTGGAAAAACCTATACCATGCAGGTATTCCTATTCTTGCTTCTTTTTTGTAGTCTCAAAATAACTTTAGTTCAATTTATGAACTTATCTTGTGTGGAGTATGTATTAGTGAGCCACCATTGTGCATCTGCATCACATATGATTTGTCTTGAAGAAGTTTGCCAATTTGTCTCCTTAATCATCCTTCAATTTTTAGAATAAAAAATTCACTCCATAGTGCCACAAATGCATAGGTACAATCAAACTTGTGAGTATGTAGGATGTGATATTACTAAATGCAAGCTTATTTACACCTCATTCTCTGTCAACCCTTCTCAAATGCACATGCAAGCTTATAGATAAAGGTAAAGTATACTAATCATTAAATCAATTCTCTTGTATAGGGAAGTGCCGAGACACCAGGTCTAATCCCACTTGCAATGGAATCAATTCTTTCCATTCGTCAAAGCACTCGAAGTACCGTGTCCATCTCATACTATGAGATTTACATGGACAGATGCTATGATTTGCTAGAATTGAAAAATAAGGAAGTTGCTATATTGGATGACAAAGATGGGAAGGTTCATCTGAAAGGACTTGCAGAAGTTGAAGTTAGCTCAATGAAAGGCTTTTATGAGGTATTCTGTGTTGCAACTCAGAGGAGAAAAGTTGCCCATACCAATGTTAATGATCTCTCTAGCCGGAGCCACTGTGCTCTTGTCATATCTGTTTCCACACCTGGTCATGAAAATTCAGGAGATCTTATCACTGGGAAACTTAATCTCATTGATTTAGCAGGTATTTCACATGAATAGAATTGTATACCTGATTGGTTGTATCTAATATTTCTTATGCACAAGGTAACTCACTTGTGGTGTTTTTTTATTCGATATAATTAGGAAATGAAGATAACAAGAAGACTTGCAATGAGGGAATTCGGCTTCAAGAGAGTGCCAAGATAAACCAGTCCCTTTTTGCATTGTCAAATGTCATTCATGCATTGAATAACAGCCAACTGCGGATACCTTATAGAGAAAGCAAATTGACACGTGTACTACAGGATTCGCTTGGAGGAACAAGTCGGGCTTTAATGATTTCTTGTTTGGTAAGGACTTTTCCCCTTATAATTGTATGCCCTGTCTGTATATGTTAAGAATATGAAAATGAGAGTTTTGCTAAAGCTTTGAAATTTGTTTTCGTTGCCACTCACAAGAACCCTGGAGAGTACCAGGAGTCCGTTCATACGGTCAGTTTAGCAGCAAGGTCAAGGCACATTTCTAATTCTTTAACTTCAGCTAGAAAAGAAACTCCTAAGGTTAAAGTTGATATGGAAGCAAAGCTCCGTGCTTGGCTTGACTCAAGAGGTAAGACAAAAAGTGCACAAAAGCCAAAGGTGTATGCTTCTCCATTAACTAGCAAAACTCCAAATTCACTGATAAAAAGAGTTGATGTGCATCCAAGTTCATCTAAAGCTAAATTGTTTAGCAACCAGGGTGCTTCAAATTTAAAGCAGAGGTAAGGGGATGCTTCTACTAGCTGGGTTAGCAACTTCTAACTTGTAGTTTCATCAGTTTTTTTCACTATTTTACTTCATTTCCTTTTGCAGGACTCCTGATGTTACTTTTAGAAGCCTAATTAGCAGTGGACATCGTTTTGTCTCAGCTACAGAGGTGAGCAATATACATTTTGATAAAACTGAAATCTTGTGCTTATCGTTCTAAGTTTACAATTAATGCTCCGGATGATGTTGATTCGACAAATTCTGATGTATCATAAAGCATGTGACTATGTGGTGCTACCCAAATTGCTAGACTTTCCCCCCATTTAAGCTTGATCCACCCTGAGAGATAAATTTAAGGAACTCTGAATGCAGGCACTAAACCTTGCGGATGCTAGAAGAAATACAGAAAAGAATCTTGAAGTTTCAGAAGATAGAGGACAAGGGCTTGATGATAGTAAATCTGGTGCACACCTTTTTGCTGCTTGTCTATATTTGTTTTGTTTGAATCCTTTTTCTACCCCCTATTAACTCTGAATCTTGTGCAGATGATCAAGTGGCGAGGGATGAGAAAATTGCAAATGTTGAATCAGTGAACCCCATAAGACCACCACCACCTTTTATGAAAGGTAATGCATTTCAGAGTCCACCCAGGAAAGCCCTTTCTCCCATTCACACCAACATAAGCATTGAGAGTATTTCCGCCAACAAGAGAAATGTTTCACTTACTGATTTGAAGAACAATGTAGATAGTACACTTCAAGTGCTCCGAACACCACTTGAAAAAATCAATGCACAAAGTTCCAACCTTAAGGTATGCAGCAAACTCTGCTCTCATGAACTAATGTATGTTTCTGCACATTGGTTTTGATTCTTCGAGTATTATCCATCATGCAGAGCTTTTTTGCTGAGGAGTACATTGAATTCTTGAACACAGCAAGCAGGTAACTATTTCTTGTTGTACATTGTTTTTTTATTCACCCATCTTTTTGTGCTCAAGAGACATCATGCATTTCCCCACTTTTTTGGCAGGGAGGAATTGCTGGAGATAAGGGTAAGCAATAGAACAGTTATACCAGTAATTGTTAACAATTTTTTTTATTATAAATAAGTTGCTGATTTTCATTTTTAAACAATCATCAGGGAATAGGAAATAAACTTGCTGACTATATACTTGAACTAAGAGAAGGAAGCCCTTTGAAAACGGTAACAACGCCTTTCACAACAAATACCTTTAAAACGAACAAGGAAAGATAAAAACCTACCATTCTCTTTTAAACTTATTGCATTCTTTTCTCTTGCAGCTTAATGATTTGGAGAAGTTGGGACTTTCTTTAAAACAGGTAAATTTCTTGGCTTCCTGTGGATGTTTGGCTGTCGATAACGTGATTCTTTTCTCTTACATGGGCCGTTTCTGCAGGTGAAAAACCTGTTTGGCAACGCTGCAAAAGTCTTATTATTTGAATAAGTCTGGTTTTGTATACTCACACATTGTTGTGTGTATCATTGGGTTGACACTCTTATCCATTGAGTGTTTGGTCAAGCTGTGCCTGTTGACTGACATAATTCAGTTGTTTATCTTCTTCAATTATCTTAATGTGTCATTTGACCTTTTAAGCTGAAGATCTGACTTAAGTGAGTGAGTGCATTGGCTGCTTCTTCTGTATATCAGTATTCAAGCTTAACGTTAAAAATACTGAGTAATACATCCTCCATTTGTAAACCCTCTAACCCCCCGGTAAACCCTCCTACCCTGCCCCGACCCGAACACACTACCCTACCCCCGTTAATTGCACTCCACAAGTTAATTTTGACGTTGGAGTCAAATTTTGACTTTAAAGTCAAAATCAATTTGTGGGGTGCAATTGACGGGGGAGGGAGCGTGTTCGGGTCGGGGCGGGGTAGGAGGGTTTACCGGGGCGGTTAGGGGGGTAGGAACTGTCAATTTTACGAACGGGGCATCGGAGCGCCCCGGGTCATCCCATGACATTGGAACCCAATGTCATGGGAACCTTGGTGTATTATTATCATTAGAAAAATTATTTGGAGTAATTCCACCGTTACGTGGTCTTTCAAAAATAATCTTACATCTTACTGTGATGCATAATAATCTCAACTCTACTGAAATTTGCGAGAGCTTTGGATTGGCGTTAAGTTGCTCACAACGGTTTAACAAAAACAGTATTTTTTGCGTAACAAACTAAAGCTGGGGTTATTTTTGATGAATTTTTATTTTTTAATTTTTCTTTTTGAAATTTTTATTTAAATTTTAAAAATTACTTTCTACATCCATTTCTCTTTCTTTTTTAAAAGATTAGTCTTATCATAGAAAAAATAAAAAATAGATGTACAAAATAACGAAAATGAGAAAAGTAACTCACACAATACAAAATTAATGAAATAAATAAAGAAATAAAAAAAATAAGGTAATCAACAAACATAATTTGAAACTGGTAAGGATCAAAATAAAAATATGGTTCTGACATTTTACGCACTATACATAGTATTAAAGTACCACTGCTTATTTTTTGAAAAAACGAGTAAATTTCAGATTATTCTATATAATTTATCCTAAAAATAAGAAGTTGTAGATTAATACATTGTATAGTGTGTAAAAATTTAAAACCCACCACTTCATATTTTTTTATGTTATTTCTTACCAATTTCAAGTTAATTTTTTATTGATTATCTTATTTTTTATTAATTTTGTATAGTTTTAGCTATTTTAATCATTTTCTTTATTTTTTATATCTATTTTTTATTTTTATTTAAAGTTAGACTAATCTTTAAAAAAATAAAAAAGAAAGGATGGAGGTAGACAATTATTTTAAAAATTTATATGAAAATTCCAAAAAACAAGCGCAAACGATGATTATTATTATAATTCAGAATTAACTCCCAACATGCCATAGTTACATAGTATTATTATTATAATAAATGCTAATAATTCTAAGTTAACTCCCATAATTATACTATTCACTATTTATTTTAGTTTATTACCTTCTCAAAAAATGATTATATAAATTTAATCACATATGCATATTTATGAATTAAAAACTTTGCTTCAAAACTTTTATCTTTTTACATTATTTATTTTAGTACTACGTATATTTTCAACAAAGTAAATGGAATAAAGTTGGTTTAATTGAAGGGTGACAAGTGACATTATGTTACATCTCTAATGGTGTATCATTATTTAATTAGTCCACTTTTTATTATAATATTTTATTCACTAAAACCATTTTTATTAGTACTTCATTCAATGACCATTGATTTTGTATTAGACTTTTTGTTTTTAAATTAACATACTAATATATATTCCACCATTTTAAAACATATTTTATCACTATTAGATAACTAAAATAAAAAATTATATTTATAGATTGTCAAAGTCTTAGAATGTATGCGAGCCCGTGCGAAGCACAATGTTAACACTAGTTTATAACTTATAAGATGCTTATAAGTTAAACATTTTTTTTGTGTAAGTAAAATGGCTTAAATGATATATAAGTCATTTAGGGATATTCTTAAATAGTGAGAAATAATTTTGTCAATAATTTGTTCGAAACAGAAAAATGAAAAAATATCTTAAAATTAATTTATTAACAAAAATTCACACTGACATAAAGTGTTGGTGCATTAACAAAAATTAGCATTACACCAATACAAAATGTTGGTGTACACCTGCGGTGTATAAAATGGGGTACAAATTCTTGGGGTACAAATAACTTTATCTTTCAGAAAAATCATATAGAGGAAGTTGAAGCCATGAGGATCCTCAAAGGGCTTAAATGGGCTTGGTCAAAGAAGAGCATACGTAGCAACTCAAAGAGAGTAGTCGATTCGATTGAAGAAGAGCAAAAAAATGACATTAGAGGACTAATCCAAGATATAATTCAAAAATGTAAGTGGCTAATTCACACAAACTAGATGTGTGCAAATAGGGCTGGACACGGTACCGGTTCGGTACCGTCACCGGAAACGGTACCGCCGGTACCGAGCACCGTAACGCACACCGGCACGGCGAAACGGTTCCGAGAACCGGCACCGGTACCGCCACAACCGGTCTCGGTTCCGGTGCCCGAAATTCGTTACCGGCACCGGACCGGTTAATTTTTTTTTCGTTTTTTGCTCCTTTCTGCTCTCCATCTCCATCCATCTCCGGCCAGGTGCCTTTTTCATCTCCTTCTCCATCTCCTTTTTCAGCCTTCTCCATCTCCTTTTTGCTCCTTTTTTCACTAAATTCAATAAAAAAGCAAAAAAAAAAAAATTGGGGGTGGCCGGTCGGGTACCGGAACCGCCGGTCCGGGTACCGGAACCGGTACCGGCAGGTCCGGTCACGGTACCGGTACCAAGGGGTGGCGGTACCGGAACCGGAACCGGCGGTTCCGGAACCGGAACCGTCCCGGAACCGTACCGTGTCCACCCCTATGTGCAAATTCTCTATGTTATGTGAGAGGAAAAAGTGTTGTTAACGGGTACAGTCAATCAAAATAGTACCTCGACTACTTTTGATTCCCTTGCTTATCGTAATAATAAGAGTGAATTACCGAACAATAGAAAGATTTGAGAATCTAGGTAATAAGTTTTCAATAAACAATAATTACTAATGTTGATGGGTGTATTCCACCCAAAACTGGTCAAAGAAGACATTCAAATATTCAACCGGTCAAGGTCGATTCTTTAGGATAGGAGACCTAAATCATCAGTGAAGCGATACTTGGTTGACCAGAAATTTGACCGGTACACTTCGGATAGTCTACCGGTCAAACTACTTTATCCCCTCGTTCATCTCCAATTTCAGTAAATCCATCCCTTCGAAATTATCCGGTACGATTTCTAAGGTTGGAAAGTGTCGGCAATTAAAGGAAAAATCCAAAGGGAATTGGACTGTAGCGGTCAAATTCAAAGGAAGATAATGGGAGATATTCGGAAAATCAGTTCAACCGACTAAGCGACAAAGGAGTAACCTTCCTAGCTAGATGACAAGGTCAATAAATGATAGAGGTAGTCACCTTGCACTACCCAGGAACGTGCCCTGACGTGGATATGCAGCGCCTTGTCTCCTCTAGCTTACGATAAATACCTGTGTAACCCTCAAATGAAGGGATTCGATTTCTTCTCACTAAAACTCCTGTGTTAAAGCTCCCGTGCATTCTACTATATTCGAATATTAATTAGGCTACATGTGTTTACACCTACAGTCCTCCCGGTTACTTTGAGTGTTTTACTTTTTATTTTTTCGAATCTAGTAAACAATCTTAGACCAGGTCTAGTACTGTTGGTCCGGTTAGGTAATTTACACCATCAAACGTAGTCTTTTGTAATTGAGATGTATTTACTAAATAAGCATCTAGCAAAAATATCTATTAAATAAGAGTTAAATAGAGGGTATTGTGGTATCTTTTGTAATCTAGACTATGAATAAGTTCTTAAAATAATCCTTTCAAATTAAGTGAGTGACTGCACGAGGAACAAACTCACCCCAAGTATGCTCATGGACTCCATATGGGGAAAACATTTACTTAAAATTTATCAGTTTGAAAACATACTTAATTATAAATGAGTATTTCTAGAACATACTTTTAGTCTGGTTGGTAAAAATACCAAAATACCTTATATTTGACTGAGATTTGATAGACATTTTTGGGAGAGAAATTTATAGGAAATAAATCTAAATTATAAAGGATCATTCAAGTAATTATTGCTTAAGTGTTGACTAATTTGGGAAAACATCTTATTAAAAAGGACCATTTTAAAAATTCATTCAATTTGATTTCTTCATAAAGGAATTACTCATTTACAATTTTACATACATTACCTTGTACTATTTCATTTGTCTTCTTAGAGCATCTTAAGTGGAAATTACTTAAGAAGAGTTCTTAATTGAGATTTAGTGCTTTCACCCATTAATTCTAGTTAAAAATGAAGCAAGTAGTGATTCACATAATCTCCACTCTACCTTTTTTGGGGTAAACAATTTTTGAAGCACTTCACATTAAAGATTAAAGATGTTCTTATTTGTTTCATCATTAATGACTTCGTTATCCAATTTGAATTTTTTTTTAATCTTGGACAAACTTTGAACTCCAACTAATCTCAATTTATATTTCATATTAACATAACGAATAAAATTTTGAAAATTCTAAATACGATAAATCCAATAGAATCATGTTAAATTACATTGCAGTTTTTAAAATTGAAGCTCAAAGTTTTTCCAATTTGAATCAAAAAAGTCAAAATGTACAAATATGTTTTTTTGACAATAATTGGGTAATACGAGTATGTATACTCGAATTTGAACAAACCCTATTAAACATAGAATGACGAGTTCCCTGAGAAATTTCTTCTGTAAGAATGCAATTCAGCTTCATCTCAGGCTTAATCTGATCCACAGGTAGGCCATTCTTATAGATTCATATGCATTTTCATATCTGTGTTTGGCGGCAGTGCATTTAAATGGATTTGGCCATCTTAAATGATACTCCGTACAATGATTTCATGTTTAGCTTGCAGAAGTCTAGTAGCATTTGCTTCTCAAAGTACAAGCGCAACAGCGCTTCATTAACAGAGAAATGTATTCTTGAGTCTCCCTTGAATGCTGAAGACTCTAAAGCTTATATTTTGTCCTCAAAAGATGTGGTGGGTGTAGGAAAGCATAATCATGTGAACCGGACGTCTAGAAGAGGTGTGCTTTCTGATGCTAAAAGCATTTTTTGCAGTGGTTTGTGTTTCTGAGTGGGCAAGGGAATTTCCATGAAAACTGGAAGTCTTAATCGCCTTTTGGAATTGGAATTTCAGAGTTGGAGGAGGAAAATGGTGGTGATTTAGGGGTTGAAAGCAGTGAATTGTTGGAAGAGAATGAAAAAGGCATGTTGGATAATTTGATTGACCGTGCATCTAAACAAGATTTGGAAAGAGTGGCAATAGAACTGCTTGCTGCAAGGTAATACAATGTACTGAAGTTTACCTTGTCGAGTGTAGTTCTGTTTACCTTCTAAAAGCTATGTTGCACAAGTTCTTCAAAATAAGTGCGGCTTCCCGTGCTTGAAACATCTCCGTTTAGGTACTTGAGGATGTCTTGACACTCAAATTCTTTGTATGGTTGGAAAAGTTGGTGTTTCCTTGTTCCTGGCCCCGTCTCCATGCAACGTAGCTTAGAGACGGGTGAACATCATAATCAATGTCAAGGGTGAAATTCTTCTTCAGTCCAATAAAAAACTTAACGTATTTTTTAAAATGTGCGTCCCAAAATAAACTTCACACTTAACTTTTTCACTTTTGGTAAACTTTTTCTTTTTAAGGATTATATATTTTACATTTCTCTCTCTAATATCAACCATTTTTCTACTTATTCTTCTCATGTCCACAATCAATTTTATGCTCTATTTTATCTTTCCTCTTACCATTTATACTTGCCTATAAGCTTATAAAGTAATTTATAAGAATATAAAAATATACCAAACTTATACTCATATGGAGCTTTTGGTGAATAAGTATAATACAGAAGCACTTATTTTCAAAACTTTCATTTAAAGCCATTCCTTTCGCCCTCCAAAGTGGAGGCCTGGAGGGTATATCACCAGCTTTTAGGATAGTGAACAAAATTGCACTCAAGCTTGTTGGTTTACTTTAATTTAATTGAAGAGTTAACTATTTTGAATTAGTTGAGACACTTAGACATAATAATACTTAGGGGGGTATATTCAATTAGGATTATGAAAGATTTCGATAGATTGATTAAAGTCTATGGATTATGTAAAATCTATGGATTGTTTTAAATCTATGCAGAGTTTGATAGATTTTAATGTATTTTATCACTAGGATTTTATAAGATTCTGTGTGATTGTGTGAATATTTATCCGCTGTCTAAAGTCAATACATTTCCTATCGGTTAAATATATAGCGGATATTTTCTGCCGTGTAAGGCCAATTTTATCGGGTGTGTAAAGTAATGCTTTTACACCGCATATTTTTATCCGTTGTCTAAAACATTTATTATTTGAAACATAATTTATACAATCTACTACAAAATACTTGTGCATAAACGTTTTTTAAAAAATACTATTATTAAAAAGAGAAAAAAATACAAAGGCATGTTGTGTAATGCCCAATTCCTTGAAATACAAAACCCATATGAAATACAGAGAGTTGCAAAACACAATATCCAGAAAAGAAATGTACAATCTCTATTTGATCAAATCAAATACACAAAAACCCAGGCCTCATAACTAGCTGTTGTGGCTTCAGAAATGCTGCATCTGATCTATAAATTTGTCTAGTCAGTCCATGGCCTTGGATGTCATTGTTGCTCAACAAACAAACATGTATCTCCCCCTAAATGCAGGTTGGTAAATAGGGTTCCCTTCAAAACGTCCAGTATAACCACATTTGCCTCTAACCTTCTAAGCATAGACAAGGGAAACAAATCCAACCAAAGAAACAAACCAAAGGTACATACAGAGGGAGCTTTTGAATCATGGTTCCTCAAACCAATCAAATGATGAGAACCTGCAAATGACTATTAATAACACAAAATGAATAACTGTGGTAGAATATTGTTGAACAACTTCTATACAATAAGTGTCCCCAATACTTTATATCTTCTCTTATTCCTATATTATAAATTTGCAAATGAGATACACAAACACATTTTGTTTTAGTATAAAATACAAAATCAGGGGTGAAAAATAGAAGTAAAGGAAAAACTAATAGTCACTTGACTTACTTTATGGTTAAGCCATCATAGTTTTTAGCATTCCATGGGTGGATCCTTACTTTCTTTGGATTCTGTGCTTGAGCAAAAATATTCAATCTATTAAACGTGCTGAATCTTAAAAATGATATATGAGAGTAGGCTTTTCTGCGAGATGTTTTAGTAAAAGCAAAATGATAAAGTTGAAAGTGTTTAAAAACTGAAAACCTAAGTGCCCATACATAAGATCCCAATAACAGAAGAGCCAGCAACATTGAAGCCTACTGTTGGAAAATAATACAAGAGCAGCTATTCAAAAATTATAAAACTATTTACAAAACTATTTAACACGAGAAATTCATAATGATGGCGGAAAGACAATTAATCCAATTAATCATACAAAGTGGTGAATAAGCTGGGCATAACCATTTTAGAAGAGCAACTAGTACACAAAGTGAATGTGTGTGCCTATGTGGGGAATAAGCTGGGCATAACCATTCAGCCACACAATTACAACAGTGAACATATATATAAGGGGTAGGTATTCAACTTAAAAGGGGTAGGTTTTCATTCCATACAGCTACATATAAGGAACAGAGCAGGGGTGAACACAATTGCAATACTCCCCCTCAAAAGCAGGGGGGCAAATTAAGCAATAAAAAAAGAACTCCAGCGGTCAAATTAATCTGTCAAAAAGGAGGAGAAAGTATGCCGAATTGATTAAAATACAGTCCGGCCAAATTCATTAAAAAAAGTCTTTGTGCGAGACAATTAGGGCAATCTAGAAGAGACCCAAGAATCAACAATATGATAGAGATGAGTATAGAAAAAACCTACCTTAAAGATCCAGATTGGAAGGAAGGAGACAATGAAGGAGAGATGAAGAAGACGACCGGAGGAAGAAGATGTCCGATGAAGAAGACCGTTGGCTGAAGGAAAGGAGTAGCGAAGGAATTTATAAAATCTTTTTCTTTTGGATGAGATTTGGGAATGGATTTATATTTATATCCAATGCTTTAAAATCCATCAAAATCTATATTTTTAAAAATCTTAAAAAATCCATCAGTTTTTTAATACCATCATATTTCGGACTTTTTAAAATCTCAATTGAATATATCCAGATTTAAAATGACTTTTTAAAATCTGAATTGAATACCTACAGATTTTAAGAATCCAAAAAAATCCATCAAAATCCTGATTCAATACACCCCTATTAATCTTCCTCTAATTGATGATGATACCTTCCATGTGCCTTTATTCTTTCTACTCACTGTTATTTCTTCTGAAGTGCCTTGCTCTTCCATACAGATCATTAACAGCGGTAGAGCTTATGAAGAAACTCCAAGGAAAGAAGTTTCCAATTTGTTCTATTGGTTCAGTGATAACGGACCTATGTGCCAGGTAAATAAGCTTGAGTCAGACAATGTAGTTAACTATACAGTTTTGTGGGGACCTTTTTTATACTTTACTAGTTGTAAATATATAGTGTTGTTTTCCCAGACCGGAGGAGGGTGTGTGGTGCCCCAATGGGTCCGAGACCAGGGGATGAGTCGGGGTGGGTGGTGGATCTCCCAAGGGAGGGGGTGAAACTGATTTGCTACAGAAGTAGGGGTATCATGTTGTGAAACTGGGGATGGGGGGAGGTGGACATAGGGTAGGGTAGGAGGGGCAGGGGGTTGGGACCCTGTCCCGTGCCCAATGCAGTACCATAGGGCAAGATCAGTCGGTAACCGATATCAAAAGAACCGTGGTGTATAATTGTACATGGACATTTTATAACTCATTTTCCGTATTCGAACATACATAACCTTCAAACAAGCAAGTTAATACAACTATGACTATGAGTATTACACTCCACGCTCTGAAGTCTCTTAACCAAACACATGATATACTTTCACATTCTCTAATCTTATTATCTTATATCACCTCCAAGGATGTAATTCTAAAACCGAACTTTATTTTAAGATAATCCAAACCAAATGCCCCTTAAGGGCACTGACTATGCCTCTGTCTTATCCAATGTTGTCTCCAGTTATTTACCTCTGTCACCAGCCAAAACATGTCATTGCTCATTAAGAGGTAAGAGCTAGCCTGTTTTGCGAGATTTGTGTATACCTTATACTCGTATAGGCCTATAGCGACATTACAAATAGACCTCAGTTTACTCTAGGAAACATGCCGATAAATTTTAGTCCTCTTTGGAAAGACATTTGGATGGTTTGTGGTGATGGATTTATTATTTTGTTAAGATAAATACCCTCAATTAAGGTGAAAATTTTAAAGATTATTCATTGCAAGGACCAAAAGAGCTAAAGAATGAGCTTGGCACTATATTGAAAAGGTAAGGGAAGTTATGAAAACTGAGAGAGGCATAGTTCTCATGGATTAAGGGGCTGTTTGGCAACTTCTGAATAGGTAAGTGCTGAACCAGTAAGAGGTCTGAACCATTAAGTGCTGAACCAGTAAGAGGTCTGAACCATTAAGAGCTAGTATATTGTTTAACTATTCAGAGGCAAATGTCTGATCAATTCAGATAAGAGGTCTTTTTAACCATTCAGACTCTGTATAATACTTAGGGGCTATTTGGCAACTTCTGAATGGGTAAGTGCTGAACCAGTAAGAGGTCTGAATCATTAAGTGCTGAACCAGTAAGAGGTCTGAACCATTAAGAGCTAGTATATTGCTTAACTATTCAGAGGCAAATGTCTGATCAATTCAGATAACAGCTCTTAACCATTCAGACTCTGTATAATACTTAACCATTCAGAGGCAAATCTCTTAACCATTCAGACATCTGAACCATTAAGAGGCTGAAACAAACAGTCTGAACCATTAAGTGCTGAATCATTCAGACATCTGAATCATTAAGAGGCTGAAACAAACAGCCCCTTAACCATTCATAGGCAAATCTCTTAACCATTCAGACATCTGAACCATTAAGAGGCTGAAACAAACAGTCTGAACCATTAAGTGCTGAACCATTCAGACATCTGAACCATTAAGAGGCTGAAACAAACAACCCCTAAGTGTATGAGAACCACTTTCCTAGAACGACATTTCACTCTATTTGTATCTGATTTTGAAACTTGTTTATTTAACTTAGTACATTGTTAATAATTATTGATATTCGTTACAGGGGTCTACTCAATGATGGCCTATATGCGGAAACTTTTACTAGATCAAGATGGTCTTCTTCATGCTGGGGTCCACGACGAATTAAACAAGTAGGCCCTTGAACCTTTTGGATTGAATTGTTGTCTAAGCCTGGCTCTCCTGTTATAGAGTATTCCAATTGTTCATTAGGTTGCTCATTGGAATGGGTGATGGCCATAACACCATAGTCATTAGATCATTTATAATGAAAATTTTAAAATCCCATAGTCCTACACTTGTGCACAACTTCAGTTTGACAACACTACTAAAAAACACCATTTAAGTTTGGGAGTAGTAAATTGCTGAAAATGTTTCTTAGCTTAGCATTAGTGTATTACTAGAAAATAATCATACAATAGCCAAGATGCTTTAGCCTTACTAGTACAGAATAAAGCAAAGAGAGTAAGATGCTTTGCATGAAACACTCTACAACCTATGTACTGAATATATATTAAACAATCTCCGTTGAATAACAATGTTTTGAATATGAAGTCTATCCTTGGACTTTGCAAAGATTTGGTGGAAATGGTAAAACCATTCGAGACTTAGTGTTATATTACAATGTTTTGATTTACTTAGACATAGTTATATCTTGGGTGAAAGTTGAACTCCATTTGCTTTGTTTGTTCATGAAAAACAAGATTTGAGGCAACGTGTCAAGTGTCTTAGTTATCACAATTCAATTTCAAAGGAATGATTGCGAATTTGCTATGCTAAGGGGCAAATATACGTGTCCATATGGATAGCCATGCAAGCCATAAAGTTACTACACGAAAATGAGATGGAAGGACTAGCTCCATTATTCAAGTTCTTTGGTTATATAACAAATACAATGAGTTCTACAAGTTAAGATAAACTTCTTGTACATGATTCAAGACCTATTATATAGTTCATTACATTCAAGTCAAATTTGTTTGTAACAAAATTTTAATCTTCAACTGGTTGAGTGACGAAGGTTGACACTTTGAAGTGTTTAGACTTAAATACATGTGTATGAGCAGAGGATTTTTGTTTTAAATACCAATTTAAACAGTATAGAGTTCTACTCCCAATATTTGTGTTCACATTCAATTTACATGGTTATTTGGAAAGCAAAATCTCCTCTATTTGACAATTTGGATGGTTGAGTTCCACATCCCCTTTTTTGTGTATGTTTTTTGATTGAAGGATTCCTTATAGCCATTGTCAGTCACTGCAATTCTCACCAAATATCGAATTAACGGGTTTTATTTTGGGACAGGCCTTGATCAGTAAAGGAGTAAATGAGATGCATGCAGACAGGGCAATAAAACTTGTTTTCAAGGATGGTGACATTGGAGAAGAGCAAGAACCAGGATCTGGTATGTCCAAACCATCAATGGATCATCTTCTTGTCCAGGCATCGAAACAATGGCTACGAAGTCGTGAGATGCTCAAGGAGACGCGGAAATCTAGGATCATCCGTTGGCTTCAATACCGTGGGTTCAACTGGAGCATTATAAATTTTGTACTGAAGAAGTTGGATTCTGGGCATCCTTCATAGAGAGAGTTAATGCCACCAAGTGTTAATGACACCAAGGGAATCTGGTGATTTTCAGCTTGGTAAGTGCTTCCATGGTGGGGTTTTTAAACCCTTTTCCTTTCCAAACCTCGGGTTGACCCTACTTGACCAGCAGATCGTTGGCGTCATTAGTTTTAGTTGCGCAACGGAAGCTGGAATCTCTGTCTTGTCCAGACTAACTTAGTATGGCATGTGAATCTGAAGAGACCATATCGTGGCCAAGTAATTCCCACGAGTGGCTGTCTAATTCTCTCCTTTTTTTTTGGAAACTAATGGTGCATGGAGAGAATGGTGCTTTAGAATTTTTAATCTCAATGGTGCTTTAGTATAGTTAATCTCCATTGTTCTTTAAAAACATTTTAGATGTATAATATGAGCTCTGCTAGGTCCGTGATCAACTCTCTCCCCCCCCCGCTCCCCACGGGCAAGTGGTTGGGTTTGTTAGATGGATGGGGGAGTAGGCCTTGGTCACTTGGTCCTAAGCCAACAGAGCACTGTAAGACTCCCAAATGGCTCGATATCATATTATAACATTGGTATCAAAACAATCGGGACTCTCCATTGTCTTTCAATGAGTTCAAACAAAATGTTGAAAATTGTATGATTATAATTTGTATAGATGTAGCGTAAGAAAAGAGTTTGTATATTTGTAATTCACATGTTGTAAAAGAAAGAAAATAAGTAAAATATTTTTTTAGATGTCCAAGAAAAGAAAATTGGGTAAAGTTTTTGAGGCAAAGAATCTATATTTCCTCCCTCCCGAATTAATCGTCCCGCTTTCTTTTTCAGCCTGTTTGAAATTTTTTTTATCTTACGGAGTATTTCTTTAGTTTCCTAATAAAGTAGTAATATGTAGTTCATAATTTTTTTCTAAATTAATTTCAACTATTCACTTTTATTTTTTAACAATTTTATAAATATTGTGAAATCAAAATAAGACAATAAAGAGAGTATAATATTCTCTTTGCTGCATTAGAATGCTACGGTTTGATTTTATGAAGTTTAAACAAATGTAAAAAAGTAGTATTTGGATATAAAATAAAAAAACAGAAGAGAGATTGAGTATATGGAAAGAAGAAATTTGTGGCAAGAAAAAATTGAAGACATTTTTTTTTTGACATAGATGAAAAAATAAAGTGGTTTCTTCCTAGACACGGAGTCCAGATAATAACCGAATAGAAACTGTAGAGGAAATCATGAAGTTAAAGGCGCATATTTACTCCATTTCATGATCGGGTCAATTTTACCCCCGAGTTTCGCACTTGAGTACTCCATTTCATTTTGAGGATTTTGACAAGACAGACAATTTATTGACATTTTCAAATTTTTGACTGTAGTACGAGTGTTGCGGAGTACTCCCTCTGATGGTGTAAATTACTTGACCGGTTAAACTATACTAGACCGGGTCTAGAATAGTTTGCTTGATTTGGTAAAGTAAGAAAGGTAAAAACACGCAGATTGACCGGTAGGACTTTAGGTGGAACACCTGTAGCCCAATTTATATTATAACGGAGAATGCACGGGTGCTTTTACAAGGGAATTTAGAGAGAATGAATTCGGATCCCTCTTTCTGAGGTTTACATGAGTATTTATACTAGGCTATGGGGGACAAGACCACGTGCGCCCACGTGGGGGCATGCTGCTGATGTGGTGCGAGGTGACTGGTTTCGTCCTTGAGCTGCCTTGTCGCCTTGTGAGGGGGATTATTCCCTTTGTCGAGTAGTGCCTTGGATGGATTCTTCGGCATCTCCAGTTGTCCTCTACTGACATGGGTCGCTACACGCCAAGCCCTCTTAGATTCTCTTCTGCCGACACTTTCTAACCCTAGAAACTACACCGGGTAATCCCCGAGGGATGAATTCATCGAAGTTTGGGAATAAATAGGGTGACAACGTAGTTTGACCGGTATACTTTTTCGTGAAGTATACCGGTCATCTTTTGGCCGATTACATATCGATTTGCTGACGATTTAAGTCTCCCTTCCAAGACTTTCGAGATTGACCGGTCAACTAATTGGTCTCTTCCTTTGACCGGTCGTGGGTGGAATACACCCATCACCCTCCATTCTCAAAAACTCTTCCTCTTTTATTTTTTTTTACTTCTAACAAAACACTTCCACTTTCTATTAAAAAACACTTTTACCCTTACTTTTTTCATACCATATCTATCGCATCATACTTTTTCTCTAATACTCAATCCATCACATCTTATTTTTACCATCACATCAAGGGCATAATTGGAAGTCAACTACAATTTAACACTTCCTTATTTTTACACAAAGTCAAAATAGGAACACTTATATAGAACGGAGGGAGTTATTTTTTTTGAAAGAGTTACGGAGTACGGTATTAATTTAGTTAATGATCACGGAGCATAAAATAGATTACTCCCTCCGTCCTAAAACTTTCTTCCCGTTGCGCAAAACGAAGAAAAATCCCAAGTTTTTTCAATCTATTTTATTTAAATATTGGTATAGAAATAAAAAATAAAACATACATATTTAAAAACTACATCAAAAGTTCAACAAAACAAGTAGTGACAAGAATATTTTATTTTATCATATAGGCCATGAAAAAACACAAATAAATATAAATTTTCGTGAAGTTGGAATAGTGCTCTGGGAAGAAAGTTTTAGGACGGAGGGAGTAATAAACACAAACATGTCTTAGGTGACTCCAAAATATGGCAAATAACGAACATTGTAACAATGCACAAGTTATTCTATGTATGAAGCAATTCTAAATCTAAAGTTCTCATCTAGAATATGAACAAATGGGCGATTTATGTCAAATAATTTTATGAAAACTAACATCTAGTTGGTAGGTGTTGCGTAGTTGGTAAGGCAATGAGTGCCATAGTTCTCGAGTTTGATTCTTGTCAACTGTATGGAAAGACAAATTACTAACCAAAATCCACTATTTACCTCTTCTCAGGTGACTGTTTGATTCTCGAGTTTGATTCTTGTCAACTGTGTTTGTTTTTACACTAACTTGTCATATTGACAGATGAACACCAAACCATTTGCAATTGTGGATATACTCTCTCTATTCCGTCCACAATAATGTTTCACATTTTCTTTTTGACCCGTCCAAAAACAAGTTTCACTTTCCACTTTTAAAAAAGCTTTTGTGGTTGTTAGTCTTTCTCTCTTTTGCAGTTGTGGATATATTCTCTCTACCCATACAATTTTACTTTTCTTAATCTTCGTAACCAGTCAATTGTGGAACATTAATACGAGAAAGAGGGAGTATATTTTTTGCTTTTTTTCAAAAAGTAAGGAGCCTCTTATTGCAATATTATCATGACGTAGATTTACATTTTCTTGCGCTTATCGCATTCGAGTCTCAATCTCGTTAAAAAAGTGACACTCCGTATTATTTAGTTTATACATGATGCTGCAATATGTGATTCTCAATATCACAATTAGAAAAATATATTCTTTCATTCTCCATTGGGAAAAACAGAACAATTATGTGCAAGTAAAATTTTTTTTGACCATAGAACACTTTACAACACTTATGCAAATAGATATTCAATGGCAGATGAACGTAAATGGAAGAGAGACAGTTGTATATGTTCCCAAAAGCAACCACTATAGTACATACATACTATATTAAGCAATTCACTCGTGTTTGACAATGCTATGATAAGAATGTTAGGTTAAAGTCTCGGATTCGACTTTTTACACGAAATACATGGACAAACAAGAACAAAATTCAGAAAAACAAATCAGTTAATGTGAAAAGGAAACTCTTACGGCCTACCGCAACTATTGACAAGATCAGTCGATGACTCAAGAAGTAGTTAAGTTCATAAACTTTCTCTTGGAAAAAGCTAACCACCATTTGTTCGGAGTACCATTCGCCCGGTAGGCAACACTTAGTAATCTCCCGCTTGTCTCTTCCCTTATTTGCTTCAGGTAATCCCGAAATAGCTCTGAGATCAAAAGACAGTTCGATATGAGATTTTGTACGTCATAGAATATCAAGTAATAAATAGTATTCCATTATCATACCACTCATATGCTTAGAGAGCTATTTCCAATAAACAGTTCAATTGAAATTCAAACTTTTCAAAAGTCATGTCAGCTCTTGTTTAGTAGAACATTTGACATAGCTTTTAAAATTGTAATTTTTTTTTTTTTTATTTCTATACCTATTTAAAAAATTGAATTAAAAACATTTCATTTTACCTTGTAATTCCCTCCGTAACTTTTATTTGTGGACGGAGGGAGTATGTTTCTTTTTTGGGTCAGGTGGGGGGACAAGAAACCAAATACTTCGTATATTTTTTAGGTCAAGTAAACAAATACTACTATACTAGTATATATTGAATGTATAATTGGGATTCGAAGGAGAAATTTGAAAAATCTGAGACAAAGTCTGGAGTAAACTCTAATAACATGTCCGCATTTAAAAGTAGCCAAATTTGAAAAGATCTATACATGAAGTTGCAAAAATTCAATTTTTGTAAATAAAAATTGTACCAAAAAGGGGGGTTAAAAATCCCCTCCTTTAATTTTCTTCAGCTATCATTTACTCCGTATTTAGGTTAGAGGAAGAGTAGAAAACACAAAAAATTGAAGCCATGAGTATACACTGCCAACAGCAAACACTCCAAACAGTAGACACTTAATTTTACACTTACGTGCTTCTTTTTGAGATTGCGGTGAGCTGAACAAACCAGGGAAGGGAAAACCAGACTCCCCAGGTACAGGGACCTTTTCAAGTCCTAGGTTTATTATAGCCTTAGTTCCCTCAGCTAATGTTCTGCAGCCTTCAAGCCTCTTCAATGCGACATTTATATATAATGTCAAATAGATGAGGAGCTTATCGGCAGAACTTTTTATATCAAAGTTTTTGAAGAAGACATTCGCTCTAAAGAATGTGATGGCTTCATCAATAATATCTGTGCTATCTGCATAAAAAACATATTATAATCATATCTCTCTCTCTCTCTCTCACACACACACACACACACACACAAAAACAAAATCACTGCAAGAGAAAATCCTCTAAGATTATTAGCACTTTTTTAAGGGAAAGATGATGGCTTGGCAAGTCTAACCCTGTTCTGACACTGGAGCAGGCCCCTTTATATGGCTTTTAAGTGGTAGTAAAGGACATCCACAAGCTATAGCAATACCTTCTTCCTCAACAAAACTGGAGTGATACACCTGCAGGCAAAAACAGTTATTGGAATTTATAGAATTCCAAGGGCGGCTGAACCAGGGCATCAAATTTTCATACAAAAGCTGGAGTAGAATCAAAACTGGGCCAGTTGCTACAGTACAAGACCAAACTTGCTAATAGTAGTCATAGGATCGTCCAAAACAGATTCGACTATTCGAGGGAGATGTGTCAGAATTATGAGCAGAAATAGAATGGGACTGTAAAGAGGCAAGGTGTATAGCCTGGTTCATTTGAAAAGATTTTCATATTCT